TTTCTGCTATGGGTAGAGTTACCGGCTCAGATATTCCTTGTAAAGCTTTTCCCAACCCTTTTCCTTGCTTGAAACCATGTCTAATCATTTCTCTGGCCACCATGATTGAAGCATTAGACAGGAAAGGCTGAGGACAAGGATTTCCCTCCTCGTGCTGATCTGCTACCACAATCTCAAAGGCTTGATAAACAATATGCTCACTTCCTTCCCTTGCCTTCAAACATGGGATAGATGGATCACGATAAATGGACTGCTCGTCTTCTCCGTGGACCACGATTTCCTGGTCTTCATACTCAAATTTTACCATTTGGTGGAGAGTGGAGGGCACAGCTCCTGCAGCATGGATCCAGGGCCTCCCCAGAAGGAAGTTATAAGATGTATCCATGTCCAACACCTGGAAGGTCACCTCGAACTCTACCGGATATCAGATCAATTTCACCGATGGTATCCCTCTTAATACCATCAAAAGCTCTCACACAAACATTATTTGGACGAATCCTTCCTGTCCCAATTTCCATCCTTTGTAGCGTAGAGAGTGGGCAAATGTCAACCCCTGATCCTCCATCTACCATGACTTGCTTGACATAATATCCTTCGCACTTGACGGTCAGATGCAAGGCTTTGTTGTGAGCTGCGCCTTCAGGAGGCAAGTCGTTCTTACTAAAAGGGAGCTATGGCGAAGAACCTTTCTGGCATCCTTTCGAGATGCTCGACTGAAGTTTCAATTGGCACGTATGCCTCATTCAAAGTTTTCATCAAGATCTTCTGATGTTCGGAGGATTTTGTCACTAATGATAGCAAGGATACCTGTTCAGGGTTCTTCCTTAATTGATCCACTGTCTCAGAATCAGGCATCTTCATTCTCCGGAAGAAGGCTTCCGCTTCCTCAGCACTCACTGGCCTCTTGGACGGAAAACGCTTCCGAGCGGCATTGTTTACCTCCTGTACATTCGAATATTTCTCAATAGAGTTCTTCCCTGGAAGTTCCCCCGAAATTTCTTTGCCCTTGTATGTGACCACTGTTTGCTGATAGTTCCATGGCACTGCAGAGGGGTCTGTCATTGGCTTCTGTGGTACGCGTCCAATAACCACTGACTCACTCAGCCGAGGCGGTTTAATTGTCCCCCGTACCACATAGGCTCCTTTCGGTACGTATATTGGTGTTTCCCCTTTTACCTCAGCTTTCCTTGGAATAGTGACAACCAATGGTTTTTCTTGGCGTCCTCGCGGAACATAGAGAATTCCATTCTTAGGAGAGTCCGTTTCTACTTTTGTCTCAGGTTTCTTCTCAGGCTCAGTTTTGACAGTTTTATTCTTCTTCTCCCCTTTTTCTTGCTTTGGGGGTACCTTGGGTTTCTTTTCTGCATCGGCAATAGCAATTATGGCTTTCAAAGCCGGATCAAACTCCCTGTCTTCACAAATCATACCGATTACCGGCCCATTGTTGTGAGCGGGCAACGGGTTATTAGTCACATTCGGGGCTTCTTCATCCCTCAACACTATTTTTCCTTGTTCAATCAAATCTTCCACAGCTTTCTTCAATGTCCAGCAGTTATCATTACTATGCCCTTCAGCTCCTGAATGGTAGGCACAATGGACCCCTCGTTGATAAGCTGGAGATTCTGGGTTCTGCCTGTTTTGGGGAATAGGCTGCAGCAAATTCATCTGGACGAGTTTCGGGAACAAACTGGAATAAGGTTTACCAATTGGCGTAAAATTTGGTCTCCTGGGCGGTTCTCGAGGACGGAAGTTATTCTGTGGTGGTCGGAGATTATATTGGTTCTGGTAAGGAGGTTGATTTCTTTGGAATGGAGGTGGATTTCGGTTAGCTTGTGGTTGCGGTCGGCCGAAAGGTTGTGCATTCATGACCTCATAAGGTGTAGGAGCATAGGCCATACCAGTATGAGGGTAGTAGTGTTGAGGGGTTCTTTCAGAGAAAACGGTCTAGGAGCCCGATACC